GGGGGTTGGGTGTGGGTTTTTTTGCTTTTTTGGTTTGTTTTTTTTTACAAGCAGTATATAATCTTCTAAAGAATCCTGCATCATCAGAAGACCTGCAGTATAATGGGCATATACTATCATATACTATCATATACTATCAATTTTCCCTGAAATACCCTTTCCAGCAATTCAGCAGATGAGTATCCTTTTTATTTGTGCAAGCCACTGCAACTTACTGTGATGTTCATACTACTTTCAGGTAAGTTTTATGCTCTCATAATGAAGATGACCAACACAGATGCTGTGTGCAACAAGATGAGCCTGTGTGCAAGACCTAATTCCATCTTGTATTGGGCAATTCACTGAAAACAGCCTTTCTAAACATGGGTTCTTCACAGTAAAGTTAGCTCTAGCACCCTTGCATTTAATATATAGTCAGTAACATCAATCATTACTTCTATAAAAAAATATTTTTAAGGGGATATATGAAAATCTTTAAAATATATGTGGAGAAAATGGGGCTTTTTTTTCTTCTTTTTTTAAAATGATAAGGCCCTGTAAAACTGTTAATATCTTTCCAGGACACGTAAGGAATATGCATATTAAAGAAATGCACACAAATATATAAAAGAAAATGGCTGTAGGAAATTCCAAAGGTTAAGGCATTAAGTTGAGATCTGGAAATTTAAGCCCCCACTATTCTGGAGACTGCCTAACTGGGCAGGCAAATAACTTAGGCTCAAGAATAGCCTCAGCCTTCTGAGGAGTGCCACAAGATGTCCTGGCATCCTGGCTCTTCATCCAGACTGGCACATAGTCAGTGTATACAACAGTTTTTGTATGAATTTCCTTACACAGAAACAAGGATGAACAGGAAAGGGCCTGTTGCCTAGCTGAATCTTGCCTCCTGACACAGAGCTGGGACATAACCTAAAGGCACCTGAATCCACCAACTTGGAAATGCTTTTGAATGTCTCACGATAGACATAGGCTTTTTCACCTTGCCACAGTTTCTCTAAGTCACCTTCTTTATACTGAAGCTTACAGTGTTTGCAGAACCTGGTTTGTAAAGCTCCTCTAATCAATTAGCACCAAAGTCTTGTGCTAGATACTTTGAGGAAAACAATCCTTAGTTCTTGAACTACTTGGTTAACTGACAAGAAAGATAAACCAGCAGTGTTCCTTGCCAGGCCAAAGAGAGGCTGCGTCTCATTTTGTTTCACCCTTAAAACACAACTTCTTTCCAGTGCAAGAAAACTCTTTAGAATTCAAAGTAGGTACACTCTTCAGCAGCTTATCTAGAATGATTAGCAAGATACAAATTTCAGGAAGAAAGTTGCTTTCTTACTTATTTTTAAAAGCTGTTTTTCTCCTCTTGAATGCTGTATTCTGCATTAAGGGAAGGATGATGATACCTTTTCTTTCACCGCAAGCAAACAAAGGTTGCCATGGCAAGCAGGCTTAAGAGGCGGAAGAAATATCAGCAAGAGCTGATGTCCATGTCCACCAGAGCTCTGAACTGAAATTTTCTTTCATCTTTTGCCATTTTCAAGTGTCATCCTGCACACAGCAACAAAGTGCTTCATATTGACATAGACTTTCATATGTAATTAAGAGCCAATTTTCACAGGCTCAGTTTTACCCAATAGCACAATAATTACTTGGTATTTACCAAGAGAATGACTTGCACTTTCACACGCTCGTGTTGTCTTTGCCTAACACTCTCTTATTTGTATCATTATTGTTTCAAGAGCAAGACAAGAAGATCTGCAGTGCAAATGACTTTATCGTAAGCAGGAACACAGAGAGTTTTCGATTCCTGAAACTGACTGGTTTCTGATGAAAATTACAGACAATCCAGCACTGTCAGCCTGGAAGGGCAATATTTCCTAAAAAAAACATCAGGCACAATTGCTTACCTTCACTGGTACAAAATAAATACTGCTGACATGCATGACAAAAGCTTGATTTCTTGAGTATAACCACCTCCCCAGTAATCAAACTAACAGAGCAAACAGATGAGTAAAGAGTTATTCTGGAAATACTCTGGTGTACGTGCAATTCCGCTTAGGAGAATTATAGCGGTTGGGTTAAATTCTTACTTGCCTGGGAAGATGTTGGAAAGAACTCGTTGGCTGTAGGCATTTACATCTGAGATAAAGAAAGAAGCCCCTGCTTCTAGCATGTAATTCAGATGTACTTTAGAAGCGTATTTTAGGATGAAATCGATTGTGCCCTGGCCTCCAATGACCAGACTCCAGGGATTATCAAAGGAGTACAGAACAATTATTTAAAAATTAGTCTTTTTCATAACAGAGGTCTATTTTAATTAGATTAATAGCTGCAACCAGAGTCTGCATTTGCAGAAGGACCATGTGCTAGCGGAGCCATGGCTGACAAACAATATTGCTTTATTATGCATGGAAGTTTGCCTACTGATGATATATTCATTATCATACAGATACTCTGTTCAGACACTGTAGGCTTTCATTAAGCAGCCAGCAAAGTTTGGGGGTTTTGTTCTATTTTGGATACTTCAGCAGAGTCTGAAAATTGTATTATCTACTGATAGAACCATTTAGGTTCAAATTTTAGGCAGCTCTTCATTTTATTTTAATATTCCAATATTTTATTTTGTTATATTAGGAAACCTTCTTAAAATAATTTCAACTTCTTTGACAAAAATTGATAGACTTTCTACTACATTCAGTTGGTTTTACTTATAGAAGATTCTCTCCTATGGTCTTATTCATTGCTTGATCTCTGACACTTTTTTTCTGAAAAAAAGGGAGGCTGTTTGGGAAACTGACTAAAGTAAACAATTGAGCATGACTAGGGTGGACTTCACAGAAGCCTTTGTAACCACTTTTCATGATTCTGTACTCAAAATCTTCATATATATTTCTATTTGAGAAGTTTTTCCTCTATTTTCAGCCATGAAACTTTGCTACACATTGTTGGTAAGCATGAGCTCACTTCACTTGCACAACAAATTGAAGTTTCCATTCTACAACATTTTTTAACATTATGATTTGAATTTTAAGCTCAAATTATGTTATGAAGTTGAAATAGTAACAATTCTTCACCGAGAAGAGTGTTTCAGAATTCAGTTGCTCTGAAAACAAAACCATGACTTTCATGAATGAACCTACCCACCTATGGACATTCTCACAGAGCATCAATCTTTCTGAAAATCTGAAAGGAACCCATGTGGCAGAAAAAAATATATTTTTCCTTTATTAGTGTTTTTGCATTAGGGTTTTACAAAATTCTAAAGTCCACAAACTCATCCCATATTCTTTTTTCATGTGCTCTCTTACCTGAATGACTCCTCCACCTTGGCCATCCTTCCCAGCTAAAAACTCTTCAGGTAAATTAACCATCTTCCCTAGCCAATCCAGCATGACAGTCTCCAGCTCCGTGCAAGCTGGACTTGCAGCCTGTGTTGAAAAATAGAACAGAGTGAATAACCTCACTAGACCATGAGGAGAAATCAGATCCACCAGAGCAGGAATAACACTTTCTCTCTCTGTGTCTTTTGATTATAAAGAGACTAGCTGACTAACTTCACCAGATAAATTAGGGACCTGAAGACTATTTTGTGCATGTTGTTTCTAATACTTACAAAAAAAGTCAAACTGGCCCTCACATAGAACCATGACTATCCAATATCAAAGCTCGGATTTGCATCTTGCATAATTTTTTTTGACATCAACTACCAACCTCTTTTGAGAAGGGCCCATCTCATATGAATATGGGGTTTTTTTAAACAAAATTTCCGTTCATCCAGATTATAAGAGAAGTAACAACACTGGGTGATAGGCAACAGTCTTGCTGCTTAATGAATTATCAGTACATTTGCATTGCTACCACTAACTCTAAATGCTAGCAATTTTTCAAGGGCAAAACTTCTAAGTGGAAGTAGCCTTTTATTACTGGAGTCATTCAGGGTGTCTATGTGAAATCACTTAATTAGTCAAGGAAATCTACCTATACAAATAGTCCTGTGACTTCACTGCTATTAATCAATACTTTAATTGAAGAATGTTACTGAAATGCTTAAACTCTTGGCAAGGTGAAGCACTATTACCACATAGCAGTACATATCCCAGTAAACTTACCCAAGAGAAGCCCACACATCCTATTCCACCACACAACATATCTGCAAGAAGAGCTGGGAAGGAAGAGGCTGCAGGGAAGTAGGCAAAAAAGTACGGACTGTGCCAGTGAGTCACCTGTATCAAGGCAAAAATGGTCATTTTTAACTAATGCAGGAAGCAGAAACAAATTGTCACAAAATCAGAAAAGACTAGAAGTTGGGACCAGTCAACAGTTCTCTGCTACCTGGTTGTAACACAAGGTCCCATTTTTAAGAAAAGCTTATCTTGTTTTTTTCTCCATTTTTTATCTATTGTTTACTCAAATTAGAAATAAATTAGTTCCTGCCCACACCTCCCAACAGTTCCAAAATCAGAGTTCTCAATTTGTCTGCATAGAAGACAAGAATTGTATGGGCAGTGGCAGCGTGAGATTCTGTGCAGGGCACTGTTCTTGAGCTTTTGCTTTCAGGGATGCCAGGATTTTGTTCTTTCATCTCTGTCATGTGACTGACTTACCAAGAGTGTCTTCAGTGCAGCAGAGATCCACAGAACTCTCTTGCCCACACTCTGGAGTTATTAGCTAAAATTCAGGCACTGAATCTGCCCAAACAGCTCCTAACCACAAAATGAAACGATCTATTCTAGTATCCGATACCTTCTGTAGAAAATTAAACTATCATCTCCCTATAACAAGCTGTGATTTATGTACAATTCCACTTCATATGTACTAATATGAGAGAACAACACAATACTGCATCAACTGTAGTCAACTGTTCTTGCAGCAGCAATATTTAAGTAATATTTAGAATTATCTTATGCAACGTCTAAGCAATTTTTAAGGATCTGTGAGCTAGTTGATAGTGCTCCACAACTCCAAACTAATAAAATTTGAAAACAGGAAATGTACTGCCACACTGCAATATTCAGTAGAAGTAATATGATACAATATGTTTGGTAAAAACAGCTTTCACATTCAAGATAAAAGGCAATTTTTTAATAAAAAAGTGCTTCTAGAGAATTAGATGGACTATAAGCAAGAATTCAGCAGAATGCATAAAAGATCTTTCCTTGGCTGGAAGTCCAGAGGCTGCCAAGTTACCGAAGCCTTTTCTTCTGCTGTTTTGGTTTTTGTTGGGTTGGTTTTTTTTTTTTATACTGGAGTTCTGTTACAACTGGAGGATGGTAAGAGCATCCTGAGGGCATCACTTACCTGAGCTCAGTGTTTCCTTACTATTTTGTTCTGCATTCCCACCTCTAATGAATTTTATCTTTCACACTCCCCTCTCGCCCAGTCTGTGATAAGGTTTCTGGTTCTGGAGCTACCTCAGGGATCACTGTACCACACTGTTCTACATGTTGCAAATATCCCTTTTATTTCCTCTTCTAACCTTCTTCAAGCCAACAACCAGCTCTTCTTTAAGAGATATGCTCCATGCTAAGGGGAAACTGTCTTAACTCTCGTATACACAATGAATCTCTGCTGTAGTATACCATATACATATACCATATACAATATTTTGAATGCCCCTATCTGTTTCCTATGAAACCAGCTCCTATCCACTACAATTTTCCACTGTCTAAACTAGCCCTATACCTGATAGGTTCAAGATTTCACTTTTACTGGTCACTAGGTCCAAATCTGTTCAAATCAGGTCCAAAGACAAGCCGCTGTGAACATTTTCAGCTGTATCTCTTATATCTGGTCAAGATCTCTTTCTTTGCTGTAACAAAGTTTTGGAGTGCTTGTGGCAAACACCTTCCTTCACAAATCAGAAAAAAAAAAAAATGGGATAGGACTTGGTTCTTCATAGGAAAACAATAAACATAAAAATTACCCAATAAACAGCAATCCCTGATAGGACTCACATGCACACTTTCACTGACGTTCATAATAAGCCAGGGCTGCCACTGTTCATCTCCCCCGCTATAATCCTCTGTGATCTGTAAAACTTGTGACATTCATCTTGGGTTAATCAAGTTAAACTGCCTGCTTGCTGGGAGCCATTTGTTTGATGAGACACAGCAGATTTCAGTTGCACCACTCAGATAAAGCAAAAAAGTCAAAAGCCCTAGGGCAAGTGCAGCTACGGTTCTTCCTTCCCCTTGCCTCCCCTTTCCCCTTCGCTTGAAGCAGCTGTAAAATTCACTTCTTTCACCATGTTGGAACAGACACAGTTAGTCAAATATTGCAAAGAGCCTGACGTAATTGATGCTTGTTTTTTCAGCCCTCTGCTGATAAACAGTGATACACAAGTGTCTTGGGTTCAGTAATTACCAGTCTAATGCTTTTCAGAGACATTTTATTTCCCAGATTTCTTCTGAGGATGTCTTTCTGTGGCTTGCTTAGTCTAAGCAAGAGTCTTCCTTTACCACTCACTAAGGATAGGTCCTTCAGCTGAAAGTTCATAGATTAATGAATCCAATGTGAGGAAAATTAGCATCTTCAGTACTGCCATTTGCAGTTACAACTAAACCTGATCACTTTTGACTCTAAAAAAGGAAGAGATATATGTCAAGAAAACAAAACAAGTCTGAGAGAGAAAGGTGCCTCCCACGTATATTTCTATATGCAGATCCCTTCCACCTTGGCTTCCTGTTGTGGAGACCAGAGTTCAGCACTTGTTCCCTCAAGTCACTGTGTTAACATTAGCAACTTAGCACTACTATGGTCATTATCATGTAGTGGAATGCCCTTTGATGGCCTACATCCAATTTCACAAGAAGTCTCCATAAAGAACTTTTACCACTCATGAATGTAAAGACAGCAATGGACACTGCATTATTGCGTTACACAGCTCCTCTGAAGGAACACCATTTTTAATCATCCAATAAGCAGCAAAAATCTGAACACAGCTAACACAGTAAAGATGTCAACATGAAGAAAACAAGAATCACTTATGGGCCACTGATAGCTCATGGGCAAAACAAGGTTTTATGACCTCTGTCATATTACTTATTCTCTATGAAGAAGCCCAGTTCCTCATTTATAAAATGGAGATAAAGACATTCCCTGGTAAAACACTGGAAAAGCACTATAGCTGACAAACAATAGATGCACCTGTAAATGTTAGGCTTGTCAGGAAAAAGGTGGGAAAAAGATTGAGGGAAAACATAATGGGGGTAGATTGTCCCTATAGCCAATTTCAAAAGTCCCTAAAACCAATTACAAATAATTTTAAAGGGCTCTAAACCAAATGTGAACAAGTCTTCCTGTGCTAAGTTCTTCCTGCACTGCCTGCCTCCATGTGTTTGTACAGCACTATCTTTTCCACCCTTCAGTTTCTGTGAGCACAGCTAGCAGAGGCAGCAGACAGACGCAGCAGTGTGTGCAGCGCTGCACACAGGAGAGGTGCACAAACCCTGCTCAGGTTAGTGCACGTGGGCTCTGCAGTGGTGGTGACGCTCCCAGGGCACAGTCCCCAGCAGCACCTGGAAAAACCACCTCTGACACATGACCAGTCTCAACCCAGACCAAGCTCCCGAGGGAGCGTGCAGCTTCGCAGGCCTGGGATCGCAGGGATGATAGTGCCTCTCGCCAAGGCTGGGGCGGTGGCCAGCGGTCTTTGGGCCTGCAGGAGCTGCACTGGTGGAGGCTCTGTGTTGATATGCAAAGGAGCAGCATGGCCAGGTCAGCAGATTCTGCAGTATCAGAGGTGACAAAAATGAGAGTGAGCAGATCGGATCTTCCCTGAGACATAACATAAGGTATCTCAGATACCACAGCCTGAATCCCCAAATGTACCAAAGGAGGGGCAGTCAGAGTCTCAGCTTAATGGACTGGGAAACGGAGTCCCTCAATGGTGAAGCTAGAAGCTTGCAACTACTGGCACTAGGAGGAGGGCTTCTGTTCCACCTGCAGATCTGCAGCTACAGAACAGCTTCAGTGCCCTGGTTGCAGACAGGCTGAGAGCCTTGCTGTGTCTAGTGAAGGTCCCAAGCAACCTGAGTATTGACAACAGTGATTCGGGTTTTAAGACCAGTGGGACATTATTTAAAAATCAGCTCTTAGGAAGAGACAGGACCCACCAGAACAACTGATGGGTCCAGTGGAGGGCTACAAAGAGATTAGGGGGCTGGAACATCTTTCTTATGAGGATAGACTGAGGGAACTGGGCCTGTTCAGCTTAGAGAAGAGAAGACTGAGAGGGGACCTTATTAACATTTATAAATATCTAAAGGGCAGGTGTCAAAAGGATGGGGACAGACTCTTTTCAGTGGTAGCCAGTGTAGGATAAGAGACAATGGGCACAAGCTGGAACACAGGAGGTTCTGCTTAAACGTGAGGGAAAACTACTTTACTGTGAGGGTGACAGAGCACTGGAACAGGCTGCCCAGGGAGGTTGTGGAGTCTCCTTCTCTGGAGATGTTCAAAACCCACCTGGACGCTTTCCTGTGTAGGGAAAAAAAAAAATGGAACCTGCTTTGGCTGGAGCTCTGGACTGGATGATCTCCTGAGGTCCCTTCCAACCCCTGCCATTCTATGATTCTGTGATTCTGTAATTGGGGCAAAAATATCTTTGCAGACAGGCTGGCTAACATGGTAAGGAGAGCTTTAAATTAGGAACAATGAGGGAAGGAGATGAAAACCCATAGTCAAGGGAGAAAGGCGGACTGAGTTGGCAAGCAAAGGGTGAAGCGTCATGCAGACAAGAGAGATCTTGAAAACAAGACAGGGCTAAAGCGGACCCACCCCAAGTGTACGGACATAAATAAGGAAGTGCTGAGAAGACAGCATTAGAGGGTGAAGCTCTCGTACCTTTTCTGGGAAATCAGCACAAGTGTGTGCCTCTCTGAAGCACCTGTATGCTATGGCATGACACACAGGGAACAAACAGGAGGAATTAGAAGGCTGTGTGCAGTTACAGGGTTGTGATCTCATTGGGATCACAGAGATGTGGTGGGATAGCTCGCATGACTGAAGTGCTGCAGTAGATGAGGACAGGCTCTTTAGGAAGGGCAGACCAGGAAGGCAAGGCGGGGGGGGGTCTGTTATGCAAGAGAGCAGCAGGAACACATGGGGCTCTGCCTAGGGATGGACAATGAGCCAGCCAAGAGCTTATGGGTCAGGACTGGTGGAGATTTCAAAGTGGGCAACATCCAGGTTGGTGCCTGCTACAGACCACCTGATCAGGAAGAAGTATGGGAGTGCAACATTCAGAAAGCTGGAAGAAACCTCATGTTCACAGGTCACAGTCCTCACAGGGGACTACAATCAAGCTGATATCTACTAGATAGACAACACAGCAGGGCACAACTAGTCCGGGAGGTTTCTCGAGTGCATTTATGATAATTTCCTAACACAGGTGATGGAGGAACTGATGAAGAGAGACATGCTGTGGGACCAAATACTTACAAACAAGAAAGAACTAGTCAGGGATGTGAAAGTCAGGGGCAGCCTTGACTGCAGTCCCCATGAGATGGTGGAGTTCAGGATCATGAGAGCAGGAAGAAAGGCACAAAGCAGGATCATAACCCTGGGCTTCAAGAGGGCAGACTTTGGCCTGTTATGCAACCTGCTTAGAAGAATCCCATGGGAGACAGACATGGAGAGAAGAGTGGTCCAGGAAAGCTGGTTGGCTTTCAAGGATCACCTCCTCCAAATTAAAAAATGGTCCACCCCACATGCAAGAAGTTGAGAAAGAGTGGTAGGAGGCCTTCACAGATGAACAACAATGTTCAAATGTAAAAAGGAAGAATATAAGAAAAGGAGGGTCAAGTGACCCAGGAAAGGAGGGCTATAAAGACACTGTCTGAGTATGTAGGGGCAGGGTTAGGAAAGCCAAAGCCATCTGGAATTGAATCTGGTGAAGGATGTGAAGGGCAACAAGAAAGGCTTCTGCAGGTTCATCAGCACTGAAAGGAAAGTAGCGTAAATGCAGGTGTGCTGCCGAATGGGGTTGGGAATTTGGTTACAAAGGACAGGAAAAAGGCTGAGGTGCTTTGCCTTTTTCACCTCAGACTTTAATGGTAAATTTGCTTTCAGGAATGCTGGGCTCCTGAGATGCATAGGAAAGGCTTAAGCAAGGAAGACCTCACCTGGATGAGGATCAGGTTAGGAAACATTTAAATAAACTGGACATACATGAGTCCATGGAGCTTAACAGGATACACTCACAAGTGCTGCAGGAGCTAGATAATGTCATTGAGACCACTCTCAAATATCTTTGAAATGTTATGGCAACTAGGGAATGTTCCTGAAGACTGGAAAAAAGCAAACGTCACTTCTACCTTCAAGAAGGCTAAAAGGAAGATCTGGGAAACTACAGGCCTCACCTCAATCCCAGGGAAGATGACAGAATCTTGAAGCTATTTCCAAACATATTAAGGATACGAAGGTTTCTGGGGCTAGGCAGCAAAAATTTATGACGGGGAAATTGTGCCAAAGCAACCTGACAGCCTTCAACTCTGGCAGGGGGATTGGACTAGATGATCTTTCGAGGTCCCTTCCAATCCCTAACATTCTGTGATTCTGTGAAGATGACTGGCTTGGTGGACAAGGGGAGAGCACAGGATATCATGAAGACTTTCAATACTCTCTCCCATAACATCCTTACTGACACGCTGATGAAATATGAACTAGATAAGTGGACGGTGAAGTGGAGTGAAAACTGGCTAAACTACCAGACTCGTAGGGTTGTGATCAGTGGCATGAAGTCCAGCTGGAGGCTCGTGGTGTATGCCAGGAATCAATACTGTGGCCAGTGCTGTTTAACATCTACTTTACTGACCTGGACGATGTGACAGAGTGCACTCTCAGAAGTTTTGCAGAAGATGTAGAACTGGGAGGAGTGTTTGATATACTGTATGGTCATGCTGCCTTTCAAAGGGACCTCAACAGTCTGCAGAAATGAGCCAACAGGAATCTCACGAAGTTCAACAGAGAAATGTAAAATCCTGTACCTGGGGAGGAATAACCCCCTGCATCAATACAGGCCACAGATCGACTGGCTGGAAAACAGCTCTACAGAGATGGACTTAGGGGTCCTGGTGGACAAGCTGAACATAAGCCAGCAATGTGCCTTTGCAGCATACAAGGCCAACAGCATCCTGGACCACATAAGGAAAACTGTTGCCAGCAGGTCAAAAGAGGTGATACTTCCCTTCTACTCAGCACTGGTGAGACCACACCTGGAATGTTGTGTCTAGCTCTGGGTTCTCCAGTACAGGGAAGACATGGACATACTGGCATGATTCCAGCGATTGTTCAGCCTGCAGAAAGCTCAAGAGGTGTCTTGTTAATGTGTATAAACACCTCATGGGAGGGTGTAAAGAAGATTAAACCATATTCTTCTCAGTGGCATCGAGTGAAAAGACAAGAAGAAATGTGTACAAATAGAAATACAGTTTCAATTGAATGTACAATTGTACAATCAAATTCCACCTAAACATAAGAAAAAGCTTTTTTACTGTGAGGCCAGTCAAACTTTGGAACAGGACAATAGAGAGATTGTGAAGACTTCTCATCCTTGGAGACATTCAACAGCCAGTTAGACATGGTCCTGAGTAACCTGCTCTAACTGACTGCTTTGAGCAGTGGAGGTGGACTAAATTAGCTCTAGAGGTGCCATCCAACCTCTTATATACTATGACTTTGTGACTCTTTGCTCATGTGAGTCTTCAGTATTTAGTATAAACAACACAGGCAGAATCAGAGTCACTGTAAGAACTGGGATTTATGTACTTGTGCTCTAACATTTCACACCAGAGGAAAGTTTTAGATGAAACATTTCTTCTTCAGAATGTATCACTTTGTAAAAGTAAATTTATTTGCAGGGTATGTAAATATCAAGAAAAAAATCAATTTAGTTAAGATGGAACATGATATATTGATGACTTAATTGGAATTTAATGTCTCACTTTCTATTTTCAAATGATTCACCTCTTATTTTTTAGTTTGATATTATTTTATTGAACATTCTCAAATGTTCAAAGCAAAGTTCTGCTTCATAGACAAAAAAAATTTGGTTAGTATTTTCCTCCAACAAAAAGGGAAAGGTAATCATATCTATGAGCAGCAATGAAAGTATTTGCATGTGTTGGACATAATTCTCTTATCTAATCTGCACTGATTTAATTCTGTTGGATTTAAGACTTCATCTACAAATCTTTGAGAAGAGTGGAGAGATTTCCATTGACTTCAGTGGAGCTTTTGCCTGTGAAAGGACAGCAGGGTTGGCTCCAAGGGAAACGAGATAAGGTCATATTGAATATCAAATATTTACATTGGTCAATGAAAAGGAATCGGTATTATAGTACACTGACTAAACACATTTGCAGAGCAGTGGTTCCATGTCCAGTCACACAGCCATCATATCACCTAGCTACATCCAGAGAGGCAACTCAAAGTGGTTATTGCAGAGATCCACAGGAGAGATTCCTCATTAACCTTAACTAATAATCCAGTCCTCTTCAAGCTACTTACAAGCCTTAGGAGACAAGCATATATTTAAAATAAAAAAGGTATATAATGAGTAGAAAAACAAGAAAGATTCAGGTCTGGACATATGCTAGCTGCTTTGTTTTGCGCTGTCTGCCCAAAGACTGATCTATCCAAGGACTAATATTTAGGTAATGGCCATCTTCCTTAGAAGGTACCAGAAGAAGTTGACATTTAGGAGAGTAAGTCAACAGAACAAGTATTGGGCAGAATCTTTTCTAACCAACTCTGTAATAATAAAAAGAAGGCTCCTAAGAGAATTTTACTATTTAAAGATCAGCTTGAAGGAACACTTTAGGCACAGAAGACTAATAAAAATCCCGTTTTATAAAATATTTACTGTGCCTTGCAAGTAGCAAAAATATCACACAAAATTGAAAGTTATGAAGATTTGCCTTTACCAATTCAAGGGAGGAAAGGGGATTATTTCCAAAAGCAAGCCTCACATGAAGCAAAAGAATGATGTGATTATTTCTAGCAAGAACAAAAACCGAGTTGTGTAAAGTGTTAGATCATATTTAACTATGGATATAAAGCAGACACTTGCATTATAAAAGCTCTAAAAGCTAATCACTGTAGGTACCTTCATAAGGTTTAGTTGTAAACCTTCATAAGGTTTAGTTGCACAGCCTTCAACCCACACTTTCTTTACAGTCTTTGAAAACCTGAATGTATATTGAATATTACACTACAGATCCATTTTCCTTACCCCTGGCATAATGATCTTCTCAATGTCTTTAAAGACATCCTCAAAGCTCTCAGGATCCTGGGGTGCACAGTCCGGAATGAGAGGCCTTAGATATCCTGGTTCCACATCTGGGAAGACCTGTCTTTTATCTATCTTCTCCAGGTAATCTGCAACATAGTCCACCATCTCCTTCCCTCTCCTGCGGAACTCTGCAGCATCCATGAATATCAGAGTTTAGGACTTATTATCAGAAAAACCCTAAAAAAAAAAAAAGAAGACACTTTTGAAATAAAATATTACTAGTTTTAAACCTGTTATTCACATGATATATAGGATGACTCATATGGCCTTTCTGAAAAGACCATATACTCTTTTATTTCTGCATATTAGGCCAATGCCCACACAGAGTTGCATTCTGCTCCACTCCAGTATTAGCTAGACATTGTATAGAAGTAAATCACACTGTTGAATTGCTGATGACAACATCATGATGTAGATTAGCTTAATACAGATAGGCTGTATCTTTAGCATAGAAGAGCAATAGAGGCATGTTGATGAAGATTCAGGAATCACAGATTTCACCCCTACTGCTGCTGGTGGACACAAGGGTGTGGCACTGTTATGTGGGACATAATCAACTCCCTCTTGCCTTATAAAGAAGAGGTCTAAGAAAACAACATGCTGTGTGTCTCTATTATAATTTAAAATAACAAGCTATATAATCACAGTTATCACAGTGATCCACTGTGCTGCCCTGTCATTTTATCTATTTCTTGCCACCTGTCCTGCCTCAAGATTTAGCTTCCCTACTCTGTCACTGTAAACAGACATGCTGTGCCATTTACAAAGCCTTATTTCTTACTGAGGTTTCAATTATAATTCACTTTAAGAGTTGATCTGCACTGTCTTTTGCAGGAGATGTCAGGCAGCTCTGTCTGGGGCTGTCCCTGTTTCCAAGATGCTGGGCTGGAGCTCTAGGTGTGCTCTGAGCTAGGCAGAGACTGTGTGAGCACACCCAAGGTGACGTATTGCTCAGCTGAGATGAGCTGGAGTTTGCCTGCAAAGTGCTGTGTGAACATGAATTCATACTGCTCAGGTGCCTGCTCCTGCCATCCTGGCCCGCTCAGCTTCATCGCAGCGCACAGCTGTGCATTTTGAGTGCTCAGTGAACACAAGGTTGAGACCACAGTGCCTTAAAAGTGTCCGAGGGTCTTCATACACTCAGATTGAGTGAGTGATACTGTTTCTTGGGATCTAGTAAGAAAAGTGGCGAGTGAAACAAGCTGGTGCAAAGAATTACTATGCTTAGCTCACATACCTTCAGATCTTCACTTTGTAAGGAAACAATTAAGCACAATGTGAATATTATGTAATTAAGGGACAATTTCTTAGATATCAGTTATTTGTGCTAAGGATTTGTAACTAAGGACATCATTTTGAGAAAAGAGAGACCCTTCTGGGCTTTATTTTATTTTAATTAGTACTGTCACATTACAAAAGAAAGACACCATTGATAAACACCATCCTAGAGACATCTCTGCTGCTACAGATAGAGGACCTGGGATTTGTGCAGAGCAGCTGCTGCTGCTGCTACTTAAGAAAGCAGGGTGCTGCCGTAGGTCATGAACCACTTGGGAAAGCAAGGATCTGCAGAGTAGGGACTTCTAGCTCCCCAGGGAATAGCTGATCTTGTTGCTATTTTGTTAGAGTTATATTACCCTCTTTAACCATCCTGTAAGTGTTTATTTGGCTCTCTCTATGCCTTTCTGAAAGGGGAATTAGGACCTTTCTCAGATCTTGCTACTAAGTTGATGAAACACATTAGCAGTAGTCATTATGGTCCTCAGAGGATTCTGGTGGGAAGCTTTGAGAGACTATTGTTTAAGCAAGCAGTTTTGTTTCCACTCCTTTACAATCAGGATGATTCCATTTCTTCAAAACTTCCCAAATCTTATGTGCATTTTCATTTAACACATCTTTGATCACAGTTCAAAGTTTTAATCAACTTTCTAAATAAGTCAGCATGAGCTGCAGCAATCAAATCACACCGCAAGGCTCAGTTCTTTGGTTTAGATAGTTTTGCAAGAAGAAATCTAAATATTTTGCTGTTTCACTTCTTTTTCAGAGTATCTCTAACTCAACCCTTAGCTTATGCTATCATTATTTCTTTTATGCTACTTCATTCATCAGTTCATTGCTAAGCATGCTCTGAAGAACTTGCACGTGGTAATCTGTTATTTTTTCCCTGGTTTCAGAGATGAAAGCTGTGAAAATAAGAATTTAACCCATGACTACCAAATTAGTGGGAGCTGCCTGAGACTGAACTGAGTCAGAACTGGAGGATCTGGTGTTTCTAGCACTACTGTTGCTCACCACTGAGTTACAGTTATTCCTATGGACTTTTGCACATGGATCAGTTCAGCTGAACATCTCAATCACTATCTGTAGGCCCAATGAGCTGTCAGTACAAAAACAGGTAAGAGTATCACTATACTACTCTCTAGTTTTACTAGAGTAAATATATTTTACAATATTTTACAGTCAAATACAGGGCAGCATTTAACACAGAAGCTTCTGTGGATCTCTTGGCCTTTTCCCAAAATATAAATCAAATGGCATAAATTAAATAGCATCGTGTGTAAGCTCAAAGCAGCTCACAAACACACAGACCAAAGTAAATTTACTTTATCATACTACCACAACATAGATACTATGCTATATAGACTGTAATCATTTTTCTACCATCTAGATTTTTTTTAATCTGAAATTTCTTTCTATTCCAAGTAATGTTTGCATCATCTTGTTCCACTACAGTGTGCTGATATAACCGATTGCCATTTTTATTATTGGCAGTTTTGACAAAGTTCTTTTGTGATATCAGGATAAGCAAATAAAATTTAGATCTAAATATCAGACACGCATTCTGTGGTTTCAGCCTGTCACCATTGAACTGAAATTTGTTAACTCTGTTTGACAAAATACACATTTTAGATAATGAGATCTTACTTGTTATTTGCTAACTATAGTTCTTCCCAAGAACTGGAGGTCCACTGGCTCATCCCAACATTGTTTTGGCTGCACTACTTCTGTTATAAATCACTGTTGCAATAGCATTCTCGAAATTCAGGATAAAGAATGAAATTACAGGGGAAACCCACTGTTTTGCATGGGAGACGTAACTGAACCAGAAAGTTTAAGCATAAAGAATGGGAGGGTGAACCACCCATCCCAAATCTGCCATAGTTGCTGCAGTGCTAGAAATTGATATAACTAGTATCTAGTTAACCTCTAATGAACTTCCAATTCCGTTTGGCCCAGTGAAATACATCAATCTGCTTTAATCTGAAGCAAAGCATTTCATTCTTCTTTCCCACAAAGACAATACTGAGGAATTAAAATCTATCTAAACATCCACCTATTTTTATGTATCCATGCATCTTCTTTCCTAAAAGTCTTGTCTGAAAATACTTTACCTACTATAATACCCCTATTTCACTGGAAACTGTGAAGGCGTATTCCTTGCAGGAACACAGTGGTCATTCAATTCTCCTTTTCACCTCCTATTTTAGCTCTGCTCTTCTGTGAGTGACAAGGAGCACTTACATTCTCATCCCTGTTTTCATTCTCTTCCTCAACTGTTCATTATAGATCTCACTTCATCTGCTTGAAAGTATTGCTTGCTATGGAAGCCACATCCAGTAGACTGGCTATCCAACAATTGTAATGCTTACCAGTTAGTACTATAAAAATGCAAATTACTTCACCTCTCTATCAGTACAGAATATTTCTCTCTTCTACCTCTCGCATGCTGACATGCTACCACACATGTACAATACAACACCACAATGAATGTACAGAGACAGACCTTACCTCTGTGCTGGTGTATTTTAAAAATGGAGAATGTGATTTTCTAAGAAGCAAAATACCTCAGACAACTCATCCTTTAGGATGTCTAAAATTAAAACACTGTTTGAGAGCATCCATATTATCTGAAGGGCTGAGTGTTACAATCTATGTGTCCTCAAAATATCCACATAAGTCAAAGACTCTTAAACTGCAAAATAATACAAGCTGAGTTTCTGAAACTAAATGGAAATTTCTGAGAAACTGAGCCTCTCTCTAAAGTATTTAACAGTGGCCTGTTTTCTTGAAGGCCCACAGAAAGTGATAAAGGCTCCGTGCTCTCACAGATCCCACACCTCCGAGGATGAATTTCAGCATATTCAACAGCTACCAGCTGAACCTCAAGTGAGAGGAGCACAGCTTCCCAGGAGGCACCCTGCCTAATTATCAACCTCCACCACTTTGTAAGCACAGCCTGTATCCAAATTTACCAACAGCCTCACTCTGATTGATAAATACCATTTTACCAAGCATTTATTATGTCTGAGTACTTCTGTTCCAGCAAGAATCAATGGATATTGCCACCACTGCATACTTCCTCAGATGAAGTTCTACTTTACTGGAGAACACTGAGTGTTGCTCTTAACTTCAGGTAAAA